CGACCATCTGGCCACTGCCAGTCTGGAAAAGAGAAGCGTAGGTGCATGCAGTTGGCACCGTTCCCACAGCAGGGAGGGAAGAGCGTCAAGCACCCCGGGTGCTCCCTGTGCTCTCTCGGTTTGAAGGTGAGGCGGTCCGGGTCCCAGACCATGAGATCCATGCCAGTCACGTGGTGTGGGATGAGGTCGGAGGTGTTGTGGACGGCGAGGACGGCGGCGACGGTGGGCTCGGACTGCGTCGAGGTAGGCGAAAGGTAGACCAGGTCCCCGCGGCGAGGCCTCGCTCGAGGGTCGAGGGGCCGGCGCAGCCGCTGCCCGCAGCCTCGCCGGGCCTCAAATTCACTTTGAATTTCCCATCCACGTCGCTCGTCGTTCTCCGCCAGACGCTTCTCCGCTCTCGCCTCCTCCACCGAGCCCTCCTCTGTGCACATGGCACGGTGAGCTTCGAGGAGCGCACTCTCCTCCGGCGTCGGCTCGAGTGCGCGTGAGTCGCCTTCAAGAAGCACGAGATGCACCCCAACTGCAGCAAGCGACGCAGCCACCTCTGAGGGGGAGAGAAGCCTACGCAGCCGACCCGGCAAGCAGACCACGCCGCGCTGCTTCGGTGGCTCGCGCACGTCCTCCCGGCGGTTGAGCAAGTAGGCAGGCACAGGCTCCCTGCAGCGCGGCGGCTCGGGTTGACTGCTCACCACTTTGTCGAGCTGCCGCTTGAGCTCGCCCAAGCTCATCCATCTCCGAATGGAGTAGCGGGGCGGCTCATCCGTACGCCCGTACCCTGTATGCCAGCCCACTCCTGGCCGGAACCAGATGTCGACCTCGAGCATGACGGGCAAAGGCACGCCCTTGCAGTAGCAGCAGCCGGAGCAGCCCCGCCGTGCGCACGCCGGCGCGCCGACTGGGAGATGGTCTCCAAACTGGTCGGGGTAGACAATCTCGATTGTGCGCCCGCGGTACTCGTAGTTGCCAGTCACCACCTCGCCGTTCTCAAGGTAGCGGCTGAGCCAGTTGGAAAAGTGAATTTGAGGCCCACAGCGAGACTGCACCTTGCCGTCCCACAGCGAGAGGAAGTCGCTCTGGATCTCGGCGACCTCCGAGTCGCTGAGGATGTCGTCTACGCCCGGGAGAAACTCGGACGCGGTCTGCTCCTGCTGACAGAAGAGCTCCCACTGCTTCTTCTTCAAAAATGAGTGCCCGCCGATGCTGCGGAAGTCACCGAGGCCGAGAAGGCCAGAATCACGGTCGAGCAGGTCACTGCGCAAAATGAACAGCTGTTTCCGGCGGATGCTGTCAGCTGTGGGCATGCACTGGCGGCGAAATATCAAGCGGCCGCAGTCGGCCGCTTGAGGCCCGCAGCCTGCGGGGCAGCTCCACACAAACAGCTCACGCCGCTGGACCCGCTCCTCAGCTTGCACTTGGCGCTCAAGGCGGCGGATAATCCTGTCCAGGACGAAGCTCACCTCGCGCTGCTGCACACGATCCTCACGACCGCTCTCGCGCAGCGCGCGTTGGCGGCCAGCCTCGGCCTCTGCGTGGGCCTGCGCTGCTGCGCTCAAATCCATTGACCTGATCTTGCGCTCCTCGCGCTTGCGGTGCCGGTCGTCGCGCCGCTTTGCAGCGCTCGCCGGCTCGCCGTCGGGTGGCAGCGTGTAGTCGACCGTCGCGCTGGCCGGGCGCTTCGTGCCGAGCGGCGTCGTCACGACCGCGCTGATCGAGCGCGTCGCGTGCTGCTTGCCGGGCGAAACGACCAGCGCCGACACGCTCAGCTGCTGCACGCCCGGTGCGTGCTCGTCAACCCAGCCAGGCTGCACGAGCAAGCTGCTGCCCGCCGCCGATCCGCCGCTCCCGGGCTGGCTGCGCGGCGCCGCGCGCATCCGCTCGAGTTCGCGGAGCTTGTCCAACCAGTTCGAGACCTTGCTCCGCTGCTTTATCGGCTTTCCCATCGCCTCGGCCGCGGCGAACTCATCTGAGTGAGCGCCGTGGAGCATGGCCTGCGCCGCTGCGACGAGCCGCCAGTCGGCTTTCTTCGTCCTGATCAGGCCCGCGTCCTTGAGCGCAGCGATTGCAGCCGTCGCGTCGGCCTCGGCCATTGCTCAGAATTGCAACGGCGAACGCGCTGCGGCCACGCGCTTTTTGCCGCCGCTTTTTGGGGCGCGTGCATCGTCAGAATTTTTGTCGCGACGTACGGTTTTCCAAAAGGGGTCTTTGAGGCAACCCAGCTCGCGACTAGTTTGTTTTCGTAAACGTAGTAAATGCCCCCCGCTGGTACGTCCTACGTCGCACGAGTGGAACTTGGGTGCGGGGGGCTATAACACAGGTAACCATCATGGTGTCGGATCAACAGTGTATTCGTACGGCTCCAGGAAAAACC